GCAAGAACCAGAATGTAGTAGTAGGTGATGAGTAACCATTAACTGCCTGTTTTTCTTATCCTTCTCTCACATCCACTTTGAGGTACAGCTTGGGCCCTGAAGCTGGAAGGCCCTGTGTGGGAAGCCCGGCTCCAGCACAAAGTGGTAACAGCCATGTGACTCGTGAAGCCACCTGCCCCCTTAACCTCTCATCTCCTATCCATTGGAGGAGAATAATGGTAACCCACCTAAGAGGAGCAGCAAGGGGCCACATAAGGTAATTCACACACAAAGTGCTCTCAGCAAAGTTTCAGGTACACAGTTGGTGCTCAATAATTGAGAGCTATTATTATTCTAGGCAGTCGATGCTGAGCTAGCTTCCTCACATGGCTGGGTTCATGTCTCTTGCCTTCAGTGGACCCTGAAAAGTCTTCCCATCTTATTTCTGTCCGGAGATAATCAACCAAAAGGCACAGGGCGGGGACCACGTGAAACTCCAGTTTCTCCACCATGTCACTCACCCATCTGTTTACAGAGCCCTACTCTGCGCGACACCACCATGCTAGGTCTTATAGACAAACTGGGGGACAAAACGGATGTTCTGTATATGGGAAGACGGAGTGAACCTAATAATCACACAAACAGGTAATCCCAAAGTGTCACAGTGCTATGAAGGAGCAGGTTCAGGGATCTAGAAGGGACTTTTGAGTAGAGGCCCCGAGGACGAGCATTTGGGGCCACCCCTGACCACAGCAGCCCAGCCTGGGGAGGAGCTTGGACTGAAGCCAGTGTGGATGCACCCGCAGCCCTTGCTCTTAAAGTGTGCAATTTGAGAAGCTTGTTATACCCATACCCCTATGAAAACATCACTGCAGTCAAGACAGTGAACGTATCTCTCACCCCCAGGAATTGCAAGCCCTGATCTGCTTTCTGTCACCTTCCATTGTCTAGACTTTCTGTAAATGGAATCGTAAGGCACACTCTTTGGGGGTATGGTTTCTTTCACTTAGCATAATTGTTAACTATTTTAAGATTCATTTACGTTGTTTGTATCAATTCAGTTGACCCTTGAACCACGCGGGCATTAGGAACGCTGACCTTTGTGCAGTCAAAATCTGCATAGAACTTTTGACTTCCTGAAAACCTTACAAACAGCCTACTGTTGAACAGAAGGCTTACCAGTAACATAGAGTCAATTAACACATGTTTTGTATATGTATTGTACACTGCATTCTTACAAGAAAGAAAGCTAGAGAAAAGAAAATGTTAAGAAAATCATAAGGGGAGGGGCGCGTGGGTGGCTCAGTCGGTTAAGCAGCTGCCTTCAGCTCAGGTCATGATCCCAGGGTCCTGGGATCAAGCCCCACCTAGGGCTCTCTGCTCAGCGGGGAGCCTTCTTCTCCCTCTCCCTCTGCCTGCCACTCTCCTGCTTATGTGCTCCCTCTCTCTGTCAAATAAATAAAATCTTAAAAAATTTAAAAAATCATAAGGAAGAGAAAATACATTGACAATTCCGTGCTGTTATTTATCAGAAAAACATCGTGTATAAGTGGACCCGTACAGGTCAAACCTGTGTTGTTCAAGGGTCAACTATAGTTCATCCCTTTACATTGCTGAGTTGTATTCTGTTGCATGCAGATACCAAAATTTCTATCTCTGTTTATCTATTCATGGAGATTTAGGTGATTTCTGGTTTATGGATATTACAAATAAAGCTGTATGAATATTCACACAAGAGTCTTCACATGGATGTGAGTCATCACTCCTCCTGGGTGGACGCCTATGGGTGGGAGGGCTGGACCCCACGGCAGGCATATGTTTCACCTTCTAAAAACCAGACAAACTGGCTTCCAAAGTGGATGGTACCATTTACATTTCCACCGGAAGCGCGTGAGTTCCGGGTCTCCCGCAGCTCTGCCCACACGCGGCATGTGGTGTGGTCTGGCCTTTCCACGTTGGCCACCATCACCCACGTGTGTGGCATATCACGGTGGCTTTCATTCCTAAAGATTAACAATGCTGAGCATTTTTTCAGAAATCTATTTGCTAGCGGTAGATCTTCTTTGGCAAAGGGTGTTTAAATCTTTTGGCCGTTTGTTAATCAAAAAAGAGTTTAATACATCTGCTCTTTACAAAGGTGTGGGCAGGGTTTAGGGAAGGCAACCAGGGGTGGAGAAGCTTCCTCAGGCCGCGAGCTGTTATCCCCCTAGCTTGGGTTACTCGTAATTACTCTCCCTTGACAGAAAGCTGTCTGTGGGGGGCTGCCCACGATGGGACCTGTGAGTTTAGAACCGTTTCCCACATCTGTGAAAGGGGATGGTAGTAATAACGGTACCTGCTTCATGGAGTTGTGCAGATTCAATGAGCTTATGTGTATAAAGCACTCAGAACAGCACTGACCTGAAAGATGTCCCCATCCTGATCCCCCAAAGCTGTGAATGTCCCCTTCCACGGCAAAGAGCACTATGGATCTTGGGATGGGGAGATCATCCCGGATTCTCTGGGCGGGTTCAATGTCATCACAAGGGTCCTCATGAGATGGAGGCGGGAGTTTCAGGGTTAAAGAGGTGATGATAGAAGCAGAGGTCAGAAAGAGAAAAGAGAGAAGGACTCAACCTGCCGTTACTGATTGAAGATGGAGGAAGAACACAGCCCTGCCAACACCCTGATGTTGGCCCAGTGAAACCCATTTTGGAATTCTGACCTCCAGAACCATAAGACAACAAATTTATGTGGCAGTTTGTTACAGCTGCCGTAGACTCATATGCTAGAGGAAGAAATACCTCTGCCTCCTGTCCTTTCAGGCTTCCCACTGGCTGACCAGCTGGAAGCCGGGGGCCGCAGGAGCCCATTTGTGTAGTTCGCCCAGGTCAGCCTGAGTGGGAAAGGATACTGTGGACCGTGTCTCTGGAAGGGCCAGAGGAAGATATCCAGCACAAGTATTATCCCCATTTTACAGATGGGGAAACTGAGGCACGAGAGGCTAGGTAAGCCATCCAAGGTCACACAGCTAGGAAGGGGTATAGCTGGGACCTGAATGTCAACGTGCCCAATGCTAAAGTTGACATGTCTAACCATCGGACCACACTGCTTCCCATTGTCAAATCCCTGCTGCCGACCTGGTACTTGGCGTGAGCTCAGCGGGCGGAGGGTAATGGTGATGGTGGTCTCAGAGGGGCATGTGGGGAGGCATCTCAGGACTTCCTGAGATCTGTTGTTTCCCTTTGGTCTTTCTTCTCATTGTCTCTTTTCTTTCTTTTTTTTTTTTTTAAATATTTTATTTATTTATTTGACAGAGAGAGACACAGCGTGAGAAGGAACATAAGCAGGGGGAGTGGGAGAGGGAGAAGCAGGCTTCCCGCTGAGCATGGAGCCCGATGTGGGGCTCGATCCCAGGACCCCGGGATCATGACCTGAGCCGAAGGCAGATGCCCAACGACTGAGCCACCCAGGCACCCTTCCGTGTCTCTTTTCTGTCTTTATGCCATTTTAGACTCCCTGGCACTGCCCCTGGGCATCAGACCTGTGCCTTCACCTAAGGAAACCACAGTAACCTAGGATTTTGGTTCAACTGAATAAACCACATGGTGGGGGAGTGAAGGTGAGACGTGGGGGGTGCAAAATCAGACCCAGACTGCCCTGATGTGAAATAATTAAAAATTATCTCTACTGGTCTCTGTCTCCGGTTGCTGAAAATGAGCTCCTAAATCCCTTGGAATTTCCTGGAGTATCTTTGGTTCTAATGAGGTGACTCCTGGTGGGCTCCTGGATGGGGGCTGGTCACCAGAAAAACCAAGCTATGATCAGAAGCTTAGAACTTTCAGCCCTATCTCCCTTATTCCAGAGAGGGGAGAGGGGCTGGAAATGCAGTTAATGATCAATCATGCCTATGTGATACGGCCTCCATAAAAATCCCAGTACTGCGGGGTTCTGAGAACTTTGGGGTTGGTGAACACGTCCACATGCCGGGAGGGTTCTGCACCCCAACTCCATGGGGACAGAAGCTCCTGTGCCCAGGACCCTTCCAGACCTCACCTTATGTGCCTCTTCATCTGGCTAATCCTCAGTATCCTTTATCTTATCCCTTATGATATGATAAGCAGGTAAATGAAAGTTAAGTGTTTCCCTGAGTTCTGTGAGCTATTCTAGCAAATGACTGAACCCAGCTCATGTCGGAGCATTGCCTGATGTGGGGGAACCCCACACATGTGGTGTCAGAAGTATTGAGTGTGTGAGTAAAGAAGGGACACAGCAGTGTTTTCCCGATGCACTTGGCCAATGGCTTTGGGCACTCAAGATGGATGGCCAGTTCCAACCTGCTTTCCTGCCAGCCAAGGCCTGTGATGAATTCTGGGCTGTCTGAAGTTGAAAAGATGGACTGCTCTTACAGAATGGAAAGCAGGAGTCTTCAGAAATTCTTGAGCGCGTCTCCCTCTGCCCAGATTCCCTGCTTTGAGTGTTCTTGCAGAGGCACTGACATTAATTAACCCCTAAAGATGATGTCTTTTCCCAACTCTGCTCAGTCCTCTGAATTACAACAGCTATCTGCCCCAACACCTACCAGCAGGCCTTTCCTGCAGGCAAAGCACCCCTGCCACCACACCCCATCCTGTGTCCACGGCAGACATCCCTAATCGATCATGGAGTTTGTTTCTTCTGAGCCCCAGTACCCTTCCCTTTAAAAAACAACGCTCCTAAAGTCACAAAGAGTTGAAACCTATGAAAGCCATCCTTCCCTGGGAGAAGCAGGACTCAGGGCATGGCAACGTGCTTTTTTCCTTTCTCAGGTGACATTTAGATGAAAATTGCATGAAGGGCAGTTTTGAACAATGAAACTCAGAAGTGCCCTTGAGGAGTAGAGGATGGTGGTGACAACAAAGAACATGCTCAGACTCGGGGAACTGTAAGAGGTGGGTGACATATGGTGGCATCAACTCTGCCCACACCTACTCTTAAGGTGCCCCGAATACCCTGCATGATCAGCATGACTGGGGCTATCTGTGGCCACAGCTAGTGCCTACCTTAGACTTGACAGCCAGGATGATCTTGGGCAGGGCCACGACGAGGCACTTGAGGGCAATGGTGACATACTTCAGCACAAAATCAGCGATGCCCACAATCCACAGCAGGTCGAAAAAGTCCAGCGTCTCCAGGTTGGGCTTTAGGAATATGAGGCTGGGGGAGAAGGGGAGATGGTTCAGAGAGTCCAGACACTCACTTAGGATCCCTGGCCCTTCTGGGAGCCTTGTAAGTATTACCTGTAGACAGAGCCCTGAACTGGGGATCAGACATCTGTGTCCTCTTTCTGAATCTGCTACTAACTTGCTGTGTGACTTCAGGTGGGTGTCTTAACCTCTCTGAGCCTCAGTTCCCCTGAGGGCTATGCAAGGAGATTGGCCAGGAGCCTCATTAGTTAAGGTGCCTTCCAGTTTTATGAGTCCACAATAGGCTTCCACAGAGGAAGCGAAAGGGAGGGAGGCAAGTAGGCTGGCCAACACTATATAGGGAGGAGGGAAACTGATGTGCAGACACCTCTGTTCACTGTATCTCATTGTCCTGCACAGTGAGCATTGCTTATTCCCACTTTATAACTGAAGCACTGAAGCTTGGAGAGGTGAAGTAAGTGGCCCAAGGTCACATGGCATGATATGCATATGGGCATTAATATCAGAAAGACCTGAATTTGAATCCAGTTTTCTCCATTTATTGGACCCTGGGCAAATAATGTTATCTTGTAAGCCTCAGGGTTCTCCTCTGCAAAATGGAAGTCATTCCCTCCTTCATAGTGTTATTGGTGGGATTCGACTGAGATAACAGACATACTACAGACCCTGCCATGCAGCAGTGATAGTAACAGCAACCCTACGAGGTAGGCACTATTACAGCCCCATTTTGCAGATGAGGAAACAGAGGCACAGAAAGATAAAGTACACGCACAAGGTCCTACAAACACTAAGGGGCAGAGGTGGATTCTGACCTGGATATCCTGGCTGTACTTAGTGCTTTCAGTCTTTATCCCATAGCAGCGCTATTCGGAGTATGTAAACCCATTCTACCCATCTGTGACCACGTAAGTTAACCTCACATTCAATTTTTGCACTTACCTTGTTAAACACAGACAACAAGCCGTTCTCCAACTGGCATTGGTCCACGGACCACACTTCGAGTAGCACTGCTCTCTACCATCTCTGAGAGTAATGATGTTAGTCATAATAACATAATAGCTAGGATATCTTGGCTGTTTACATCATTGCTGGCCTATCCTACAGACTTCACATGTCTTAACTCATTTCATTTTACCAAAGACTCTATGAAGCAGGTGCTATGATTATTCCCATCTGAGCTGGAGAAACCAGAGCACCAAGAGGTAGAGTCACCTGCCCATGGCTCTTGGCTGGAATGAGAGCCAGGATAGGAACCAGCATCCAAACTGTGCTGGTTCACTCGCTTTTCCTCCTGCTGATTCAAGGCTCTGAGCAAAGGCCACACCAAGTCCTCTCTGTCCCCCGTAAAGCAAGGAACAGTGCACACAGCCCAGCGTGGATGCTTTGTGAATGCTTCTCACATATTCTGCTGGGCTGGCAGGAAATAGCACAAACCGGGCTCTCTTATGATAACATCCAAGGAATGAAGTGGTCTATTTTTTACTTTTATTTTAAAAAATCTATTTCTATTTGTAATAAAGATCCTCAAAGAGTCAAGAGTAGGGCAAAATCAATAAAAACAACCTATTTTGGCAACCTCTCCCGATACCTTCTGTGTCCTTTCACATTCTAGTCTTGTCTCTGGAGGATGCCTCTCCTCCAAGTTGGAGTGGCCATCCACGTTATAACTCAGGGAGAGGCCGGCACCTCTGCTTCTGCTCCCATTCTACCCCGGGACCCCAGGCTGCTTGGCTCTGCTTCTCTATTAAGCTTCTGTGATGGCAATACAATGAGGATCTGACTTCCACTTTTATCTCAGAGACACAAGCTGGTGTTAGATTCACCTGTCTGGGTTGTAGTTCACCGTCTTAGGGTTTCTTTTTTTTTCCTTTTTTTGCTTTTGGAGGAGGGACAGGGCCAAAGTGTTTTTGCAGATTGATTGCTAAGTCCACTTCCTTCTTTTCTTTTTTTTGTTTTTTAAAGATTTTATTTATTTATTTTAGAGAGAGCACGAGCATGCACACATTGGGTGGGGGGCAAGGGCAGAGGGAGAAGAGAATCTTAAGCAGACTCCATGCCCAGCGCAGAGCCCAACATGGGGCTTGATTCCAGGACCCTGAGATTATGATCTGAGCAGAAACCAAGAGTCGGACGCTTAACGAACTGCACGACCCAGGCGCCCAAGTCCACTTATTTCTAACGTTCACTATGAACTTTAATGGACTGATGTATTTTATTGTCAGTTTCACCCCTCCTGAGGCATTACCACCAACACCTATGGTAATTCATCATGAAAGAATAGTATCAATCATGATAGGATTATGATATATCAATGTTTCAGTTTACCCAGTACTTTTCATGTATTATAACATCTGGCCTTCTGAATAATTGGCCTGTCAGGTGGATAAGGCAAGAATAACCTGGTCCTGGTTTCACAATGAGGAAACTGGCATAAGGAGTTTCCATTATTTGCCAAAGGGCACAAAGCTGGTAAGCGGAAGGATGCTGGTCATTCGAGTTCAAATCCTAGGAAGATTCAATCTCACTGTCAAAGACTGCCTACCAGGACTAAGACTCATTAGGAAAAGCTTCATGAAGCCGCAGTTTCCCCACCTGCGAAATGGGGCCAGCAATACCCTGCTGGGTCACTGGGAGAGTAAAAGGAGCTAATGGCTATGGGGTTCACTTACAAACACACTGTAGACCATTGACATTATTACGGAAGGGGGCTGAACTCTGTTGCTTTTCTCCTAAGCTTCTCTCTCCCTTTCTGTGCTGCCAGTTTGACTCAGCCCTGGTTCAATGGGGGCACAGAGGTCTAAGCCTATGAACGTGATCATGCTCAGAGAATGGCATGAGCTGGAAATTCATCCAAGTTTCTGGGAAATGCTACCTCCTCCACCCTCCATCCACCAGGACCTTGATATTCTGGGCCAGTGTGTGTGATGTGTCTTGATGCCTTAGAACTAACTCCCCAAATTGCTTTTATGGAGTGGTCCCAAAAAGTGGAGAAACTGCCCATTCCTCAAGGTCCATTTTTAAAAGAGACATCCGTGATTTGGAAGCTTGGCTGGAGTTTCAGCCTAGTCCTACAGGCCCTCGCTGGCCAACCCTCTCCCACCTACCCACTGTGTGGTTACTGGGAAATGTAAGTCACACATGTGGCTTGCAGTGTGTTTCTATTAGAGAACTCTGCCCCAGCACACATATATATAACAAGAGAGTGGGATTGAAAACGTACATGACACAGAGCCACTGCATCGTTCTCATGTGAGGCAGCTGTGTGTCCCAAGCCCAGCAAAGTACCCCCTACTTTCCCACCAGGGGTCAGACCTCCCCACTTGCTCACCTGTTGTACAGCTGTTGGGAACTGAACGTATAGAGCACATATAGGGTGTTCCCCGCCAGAAAGGCCAAGATCCACAAAATGACCAGCACCGACCTCTTCTCCTGGAGACAAAGCAAGAGACTTGTAGGGATGCTGCAATGCCAGAGGTGCACATTGCAAAACATTCCAGAATGTTCTCTGACAAGTAGCCACTTTTCCCTTTCTCAAAGGTTTGGAAGAAGCAGGGCTGAGGGTGTGGAGCGCTCAGTGCCCTGTGCATGGTTACAGAGCGCTGGCATCTTCCCACCCCCCTGGAACCCAAGGGGTGGTCCCAGAGAAGGTGACAGAAATGTGGAGCCTGGTATGTGAAAAAGCAGGAAGGCTCTACGGGTAGCAAGGATTCTGGAGCCGGACGGCCTGGGTTCAAATCCTTGATCTGTAGCCGCAGGGCTGGGCAAGTTCCTGAAACTCTCTGCGTTTCCCTCTCCTCATCTGTAAAATGGGTACATACCGTGACTCCATTACAGAGTTGTGAGAATCGATGTACATGAAATGCTTAGAATGGTGCCTGCATGCAGTCAATGTTGGTTCACATTTCCTGTAAGGACTGGACGCACAGAGCAGGGAAGCAGCTCTTGCTCAAGGGCACGTGTGTTAAGCCTCAGTGCCCTCATTTGAAAATGGGAGTTTTGCTAAGGATGAAGGAAAATTCATAAATGTAAACTTTCAGTCTGGTTTCGGCTCATGTTTCGGACTCACTAAATGACAGGATCTAGGATCCAGATTTTCCAACGCAGCAGTCGATTCAAATCTACAGGTTGACAAATTCTGCTCTCCCTTTTTCTAGCCTGGACCACGGGGGCTACTATCCTGGCCTGACCGTTCAACCCAGGGCCACAGTTATAGTGTTCAATTCAAGCTCACACACATGGCCAGCAAAGTCTTTCCTCAAACCATCCCTATTTCTTTCTCCAGCCTCATTTCTGATTAGTCCCCAGGAAGCCAAGCTGGAAAACTTTCTTGGTTTCCTGTTTCCCAGCAGCTTCTCAGCCTGAGAGCCATCCCAAGGAATTTCTAGAGGAGGTGTGGGGCAGGGTGTGCTCCTGCCTATGTGGTCTGGGAGATACACACAGACCCCTGTGCTGCTGATTCCCAAAAGCTCATCTTTTCCTGGATCAGGGCGGCTGCATTGCTGGAATAAGATGAGGTCATAACTTTCTCAGTGTAACCTTCCCTGCGGTTTTGGTAAATGCTCCACTGTCTCTAGACACAGGTCAGTGCCCCGTGCATGGTTACAGAGCACATTTCCATAGAGTAGACAAAATAAATGCATCTCCATCCACCCATTATTCCAGGAGTGGTCAAGGTTAATGACCCTAGAAACCACCTCCAACCAACCAACTGCTCTTATCAATGTGAATAATCTACTCAGCAGCCCTTCTTACTCCAATAAATAATGGATTCCAGTTTAATCCTCCCGTAAATCCAAACCAGAGGTGGAATACAAAGAGAATTAGCAATGCCCTGAGAAGCCAAACTCTGAAGGACAAAAGGGGAGAGTTCTCCAGCAGTAAGTTGATATTTCTAAACTTACAAGGGTCATGCAGAATCTCTTTCACAGAAAATGTGTATGGACAGACAATACATCAGCTGTGTCTTCATAGGGTTCAAGGATCCCTATCTAGAACACCTACCCACGGATATAGGCAGCCTCTGACCCCTAAAATTTAAGCCAAGGCAATATTTAGATGTTCCGCATTTGAGAGAGAGCCCCCAAAAGTGTCCTATTATGGTGTTGATCAACCTGCTGTTCTAATAACAGCAGAAAGGAGTTTGCATAAAGAAGATGAGACCAAGGGTCAAGAAGAACCTTTGGTCCATGCCCAGCTCTGAACCTCAACGTGCTCATCTGTCACATGGAGACTGAGCCGCCTTCTGTGCCTCAGAGAGGCCCAGATGCTTTTAAGAAAGCCCCAGAGAACGATGGAGAGAAGGACCAGAGAGGATGGTGGTTGTTAGGGGATCGCATGCACAGTAGAAAGCACAGGCTTATTAAAAGTAGCTCAATTAAATGTTTCCTATACACCAGGCCCTGTGCTAAACACCTCCTAAGCACTGTCTCATTTGACCCCCTCTATGCGTGCATGAAGTCGGTATGAATGGTTCCTTTTTCAGGGCAGCACTGGGGACTGAGATCACCAAGGTAACCTATCCCAGGGCCTGTGTGCAGGCGGCTGGAGGGGCTGTGTTCACCCCCGGTTGAAATCAAATACTTATCTGTGCAGAGCTTCACCGCCCGACACCACCACTTTCACGGACTGTGTGACCTCATACACAAGGCACTTAGTGTCTCTGAGCCACCGTTTCCTCATTGGGAAAATGAGCTAAGAATGATTCTGTCTCCCTCCAGGGCCGCTGGGACAAATCTGCAAGATGAACTATGCCATCTGCCCAGCTTTGTGCTTGGCGTGGTTAGCACCACGTGGAGGTTACATGGGAACTCGGGATGATGATGGTGAAGCTGGTGAACCAGCAGCGCCAGTGGGCTGGCCTCAACCGTGAGAGTGGCCAGGCAGATAAGGGTGCTGTGGGCACGTGGGGGAGACGCTGCAGTTGGGAGGGTGCGGGAGAAGGATAGCACATCCAGGGATCTCTGTCCAGGAGTGGCAGGCAGAAGAGTGGCCTCCCGGAGACGTCCCCGTCCTAGTCTCTGTCACCTGTGGCTATGTTAGCAGAATTTATTTATTTATTTATTTTTTCAAGATTTTATTTATTTATTCATGAGAGACAGAGAGAGAGGCAGAGGCAGAGGGAGAAGCAGGCTCCCCTCGGAGCAGGGAGCCCTATGTGGCACTCGATCCCAGGACCCTGGGATCATGACCTGAGCCGAAGGCAGACGCTTAACCGACTTAACCACCCAGGCGTCCCTATGTTAGCAGAATTTAGATGGCTATGCAGCTAACCTTGAGATGGGGAGACGCCTGGATTTTCTAGCTGGGCCCGATGTAATCACAAGAGTCCCTAAAAGCAGAAGAGGACACAGAAGGGAGCGTTCCCAAGGAGATGTGACCACAGACAGACAGGTGGGCATAGAGGTGCGGCATTGAGGGCTCAGAGGTGGAAAAGGGGCCACGAGCCAAAGAATGTGGGTGACCTCTAGAACCTGGGAAAGGCAAGGCAAGGGGATCTCCTCTGAAGCCTCCCGAAAGAACAGTCGTGTTGACAGCCGATCTTCACCTGGAGAGACCCGCTTCAGACTTCTGATCCACAGAACTATCAGGGAGTAAATCTGTACTGTTTTAAGCCACTGAGTTTGTGGTCACGCGCGACAGGCGCCTAGGACACCAACTCGCCGGGTGACTCACCTTCAGAGAGACCTGTTCTCGCAGCGTGGAGTTGGCGTAGGCAAAGGTGCTAGCCATCCCGATGCACACGGCAATGCCTGTGGGACAGAAGAGGTCCGCCACGGTCCTCTCAGGCTCCTTGGGCCTGGCCCGAGCTTACGAGGCACCATGAGCAACATTAAAAAGTCACTACCCTCCATTCCTTTACGCCAACCGAGCAGCAGAGGAAGTTTCTACAGGACAAACGACAACCCCCACTGGACAGAGGATGACACAGGCTCAGAGAAGGCGAGTGACTTGTCCCAGGTCACACAGCTGGCCGAGCAGGATCGCATCCCAGGTCTGACTCGGAATCCCATACTCTTAAGCACTGGGCACCATGAAGGCCTCTACAACCCTGCCCTGGCCCTTGGGATGAAGGGGCCCCGACCCGGCAGGTGAGGCCCCAAGCTGCCACACCCGCAAGCCCCCAGACTCACCGAGCTTGTGCTGGAAGCACACTTTGGCCAGGAGGATCAGGATGAAGGGCAGGCCTTTCTGGAGCCAGCAGACCACGGCCTTCAGCTCGGACAGGGCAGGGGCGGGCGTCCCCGGCTGCTCGTCGCCACCCTCGTCCGAGTGGGCGCGATGGTCCCCGCCCACGTGCTGCAGCAGTGAGCTCCCGCGGTGGCCGCTGTGGTGGAAGTGGTGGTGGGGCTGGCGATGGTGGTAGGCGCCCCCCTCGCCCCGGCCCCCGCCCTCCTCCCTGGACGCAGGCATCTGGATGAACACGTCCCCGCCTCCGGCCGATGCCCCAAGCACCAGGCTGGACGGAAACGGGGTGGCGGGCAGGCTGCCCGCTGGGAGGCCGGGGAGACCAGAGAAGAGCGCAGGTGGGGAGGCCGACTCTGCCTTCAGACTCTCAAAGACACCGCCTTCATCCACGCTCGCCTCAGAGCTGAGCGCTTGGCTGCGATTTCTGGGCCAGGAGGGAAAAGAGAGCCCCACCAAGTCAGGGGGGGAGAGAAAGACGGCACCCCAGTGGAGGATGGGGGGCAAACAACAGTACCAATATTGTTGCAGGCCGAATTGCTTTCCACCCCTCCCCATTCCTTTGTTGAAGCCCTAACCCCCGGACCTCAAAAGTGACTGTACTTGAAGACGGGGTCTTCGCAGTGGGTGATTAAGTTAAAATGAGGCCACTAGGGTGGGTCCTAATCCAATATGACTAGTGTCTTTATAAGAGGAGATTAGGACATGGACACACACAGAAGACCAGTGAGGACACAGGGAAAGGAGGAGGCCATCCACAAACCAAGGAGAAAGGTTTCAGAAGAAACCCACCCTGCCCACACCTTGATCTTGGACTTCCAGCCTCCAGAATAGTAACACAATAAATCGCTAACGTTTAAGCCACCCAGCGTGCGGTATGTCACAGAAGCCCTAGCAAACTGAGACAGACAGTACCAGCAACAGGGTCATAATCTTCATGGAAAATTTACCGTGCGCCAGATAGTTTTCTAAAGGCTTCCCATTGATTAAATCATGACACCCTCCTATCAACTCTGTGAGTTAGGTACCAATATTACCCCCATCTTACAGATCAAGAAACTGAGCCCAGAGAAAGGAACACGTCCTGAGTCACATAGCCAGGAAGGGACAGGACAGGAGAGATTCAACTAACTCCAGAGCCTGTTTTCTTCACCACTCTACTCTACTGAAAAGCCAGCACAGATTCTATGATTCTAGAATAACCTCAGGAACCCAGGGACCCCGGCCCTGGAATTTTCAATGACTCCCAGTTTCCACGAGGGCCCAGCCTTGGGTCACAGCTGATATCTGGAGGGCAGCAGACGGTAATATCAAGAAGACTCAACAGAAGAGCCCACGTTCAAACCCCAGCTCCACGCTTCCTAGGGGGCTTCCTAGGGGCCTTCCTAGGGGCCTTAGCAATCCGGCACTCACTTTTCTCACCTGAAGATGGTAGAAACACCATTCATACATAGAATTCCTGTGGGATCAAATTTACAACAGCCTTTTCAGTGTACCCAGCACAGAGCAGGAGCTCAATACATGGGATCCCTCTGGAGAGACCTCCGGGGCCAACTGCCTTCTCTAGTTCCAACCACAGCCTCCTGTACTGCTATCTGGCAAAGGATTCTGTGGCTCTTTGAGAGCCATTGCTGGAGGAGCAGAGAGCTCAGAGTTACCCCTACAAGACTGGAGAGCCCCGAACCGGGTACACTCTGCCATGAGCACCATGCCTGGGAGGTCTGGAGGTCAGCTCTCTTGGGCTTGCCTTCTTTTCAAATGGGAGCATGATGTGGAAACTCAGTCTGCCCAACAGAGACAAGTAGAGCTGGTTTGCTAGGTGTGCAGGTGTCAGGGGGAGGAGCAAAGAGCCTCCCTCCCCTCACTTGCCCCCAAGGCACCTCGCAGACCCCTATGGTACTTAAAATATGTCACGACCTTACTGAGTGTGAGAGCTGAGTTCCAGTCATCCTCTGTGGACCCCACAACCCAGGGCATGCAGTAGGTACTCAGTAAACGTGTGCTAGCTTTCATCGAGGCACATCATCCTAGACTCTGTATGATCTACTGTCCACTCGGAGACCAGGATGCATTTTAAAAAACACATATTTGATTATTTCACTGTCCCACTGAAAGGGCTTCCCATTCTAAACTCCCTCCTGCAGGTTCAGATAACCACTATCCATAGGGACGAATATCATTCCCATTTTACAGATAAAGAAACTGAGGCTCAGAGAGACAAAACTGTCAGATGTCCTGGACGCTCTGGCTCCAAACTCCAATGTCACCATGTGCCTTTTTCTCACTGCCCAAGGGCTTCCTACTGCAGGGCCTTTGCATAGACACCGGGATGTCTGCCCACCCCGCACCCATCCCACCTGGGTCACCTATGCTCATCCATCAGATTGCAGGTAAAATCTCTCTTGCTTGGTGGCGTCCTTCCTACCTCCCAGACAATGACAGTGTCCTTGTTTCTTGTTTTCACTATACCCTAACCCACTGCATGGGAGTGTTCCCAAGTATCATTTCACTGCCTATCTCTGGCTCTCAACCATGGCGGCACATCATAATCACTCAGGGGAGCTTCTGAAAAATACAGGTGCCTAAGACCCAGTGTTAACCAATTGAACAAAATCTTTGGCGGTGGGCCTTGACATCTCTAGTTCGTGAGAGCCCTCTAGGTGATTCTAATGTTCAGTCAGCACTGAGAACAGCACTTCAGGCTGGGCCCTGCTCCAAGAGGTCAAAGATCATGATTGTTTATTCCTACTGTCTCTCTCCAGCCCAGCACAATGCACCAGGCACACACAGCATGGTCAATAAATACTGTTTGAAAGAATGAATGAATGAGCGTAATAAAAGCTCTGAGAAGGCCTGCAACTGAAGAAAAAACTAATTTTGTTGAAACTTAAGTGTTTCCCAACCTTATTTGACCATGGGATTCCTTTATTCTGTGGAAAACCTATTACCATCTTAGGGGACATTTGTGAAACCCAGCAGGGGACACGCTGGCCTGGAGAAATCTCAGGGTTGGCTTCTCTAGCTCCATAAACTTGACCTGGGAGGAAACGATCATAAACCTGGTGCAAGGGAGGGAACTTGGAGATGGCTACCCATTCTCCCACCCCATGGCCTATCCCTGCTGGCTCCCCAAACCCAGGAGATATATGGTCCTACTCCCTTGGGCTTGGGATAACAATAAAAATAATATTAATAACAACAACAACAACAGACACCATGGCTATGACCCTCAAGGGGCCGTGAGCTTTTTCTGCACTTCAAGAAACTGAGCTCAGAAAGCAGGAGTGCTGGCAGGTGCCCACGCTGACCCACATAGGGGCCAGCCTCTCTCCGCCATTGGGCCCTGGAAAGCCCTCCTGGCCCCCTGAGCTCACCAGCACGGAGTTTACTGGGCTCAGGGGGCCTCTAGAACTCAGGGAAGACTCAACCCACCAAGGGCTTTTTATAGCTTGCCTCCCTTCCCCGGGCCCCTCCTCAGTATCCAGCCGAGATTTCAGCCTAAATGGGAAACAATATTCCTTGGAGGACTGAAGCTGTTTCCAACTTAACCATTTCAGGGCTAGAATGTGAGGCAGCCCAGGAGGAGAAGTGGATCCACCCAGACAGGATGCAATCATAATATGGTGCCACAAAGCATGGACTAAGGGGGAGCAGGGGTGATGGGCTGGGGCCTGAATCTCAGCCTGCTGCTTCCTGGCTGTGTGACTTCAAGTAACTTACTTTCCTTCTCTGAGCTTCACTTTCCTCAACTGTAAAAATAGTGGTAAAAATAGTCCTGACCTCATCAGGCTAATGTGAGGGTGGTGCAGGGTAAGCACACCATACACGGTGGCCATTATTTTCCTGCTGCAGTCTCTGCCCCCAAAGACCTCACGGTTCACTTGAGGGCAGACAGCGATTCTGTCTTCAGAGGCTAGAGAAGCTCCAAGAGCCATGCTTATTATATGCCAGATGCTGTGTTTGTGCATTTTCATGCTCATTCGCTCATTCCTCAACAACCCTGAGTTTTATTATCTGGATTTTATTGCGGGGAGGGGGGAAGAAACTGAGATCCAGGGGTGGAGTCGCTCACCAAAGGCACCACAGATGGGAAATGGCTAAGCTGGGATTTTGGCTGAGGGTCATCTGACTTAAGGCCAGTGCTCTTCCTTGTAGAACAGGCAGGGCTGATGCAAAACAGTCTTAATGGGACTGGCAGACACACTGTGACCTTGTCGTCAACCTTGGGCTCGCAGGGGACCCGGCATAGGATGTGAAGGCGGAGCTCAGCTGCCTGGTCCTGGGATGTATGTACAGCACAGGTGGAGAGTGTCACAACGTGAGAACACATCTCCATGGTGTGGACTCTCTTGGACTTCAGTAGACAGTAATGCTAGCTCATGAGTGTTTTCTGAGATTTTTTTTCTATTTGTCTATTTGGCATCCGCTAATAAAAGCTGTGGCCTGTGCTTACTCCTTGTTTCTTTCTGCCTCCCAACTGACACTGGTGCTTCCCCCTGTGGCTCTTCCTGGGAAGGCGTGCCCCACTCTCTTGGGAAATGTAAGGAACCAAAATCTTCTCCCAGTGCCCTTAGCCTCTCTATGTCCTCACTCACTCACCTCTGTAAGTTAAAATCTGTGGGAACGATCATTGATGCAATGAGTCAAGCGGATCGCCTGTCCCACGGGCTTTGGGGATTACCCTAAAAGCAAGAGCAAGCTGCTGTATTGAGAAGTATATGCCATCACTGGGCAAAGCAGTTTCCAACCAGATCTCCTTTGCTTATCTCACAAGTAACCCCAAAAGGCAGGTATTCAATCGAGATTTGGTTTGCCCCAGACCATCTGAAGCCCAGAGCCTCCAGATGAAACGAAACCAGGAGAGGTCCTACCTACCTTTCAGGTGGACCGTTATCCGTATTACTGCTGTGGCGCCTCTGCATTTTCCTTAAGACCTGGAAGTCAACATATGGCATGAGCTAGAGTCTCTCAGCATTCCCATTGCCGGTTGGATTGCCAAGGCAACTGTAAACAAGTATTATTACTCCTGCCTCACATCCCCAGAGTTCTCTGACATTCTGCAAACCCTGCTTGCATCCGTTAGGTCATCCAACTCTTAATTCAACATTCATTCCCTGGGAGGAAAGTGTTATCACCCCATTTTGCAGATGAGGATGTTGAGACCCAGAGGCGGAGGAAGATTTCCTCATGTGAGAGGCAGCAGTGAAATGTGGAGCAAGGAGATGCTGGAGGATGGGAGAATGAGACATGGCTTTGGAACTGATGCTGCTCCTAACATGCTTTTAGGAGCACCCTTGGACAAATCAGCAACCTCTCTGTGGCCTCAGATTCCCCATCTGTTAAATTGGGGGGTTGATGGTGTGTGTGACTGAAACCCAAAGCTACCTTCCAGCCCTCACATTTAATATGGTGATAATAAGGATGTGAATTCTCATGGAGACACATCACCTGGGTCACTGTGAGGAGCCACATGGACTTCAGAACTCCATGTTGATGACGCCTGAGGTGGGCCTTCAGGGCTCTGATGGGGTTGTGACCGCTAGAGTCCAGAGAAAGCAGGCCTCTCCCTCCACTTCCTCCAGAAGGATGCACAGGTCACCAGAGCTTACCAGACTCCAAACCCTGAAGGGAACAGAACACTTAAGGGAACAGTCTGTGGGATGGCTTGAACCTGAGAATGTCTTAGGGCATCATGGGTAGCTCTAAGCATATGGTTCTGTCTGCTCCCTATCTCTGGTTAGCCTCTCACTGATCCCTCTTTAGGACTCCTGAGGATATTATATTAACGAATTCTGTCCTATTGTCAAACTATGAGTCCTGATTGGGGAATACAGAAAATATGTGTGAGGCCCTCTAATGGCTTCCCATTGCAACCAGAATAGAATCCAAACTCTGTTTATGGCCTACAGGTTCTGCCTGATGCAGCTTCACCTGTTTCCAATCTTATTTCCCTCTACTCTTCCTTTAACCCCTCCCCAACAGCCACACTGGACTTTTTGTTTCTCAAACAGGCCGGCTTGTCCCTGCCCTCAGGGCCTTTATACGCCAGTTCTCTGTTCCTTCAATGCTGTTCCTTCTGTCTAGCTCCCTCAGGTTAAAGGTCACCTCCTCCCAGAAGCCTTCTCCTCTCATCCTCCTGACTCACCATATGTTGCACTGTTTTATCTTCTTTAATAGAACTTATTCACTTATATGTTTGCTTATTTATGATCTGTCCCCCATTAGAATGTAAATGCCACAAAAGCAGGGATACTATGTCTGGCTCAACCCTGTACCTCAGCATCCAGAACTGCCTAGCACAGAGCTGCATTCAACAAACAAATATTCAAATGTTTATTCAATATTTATTATGGATCTCAGTTACCTTTTTGTATATCCCTTTCTCCCTCCCTGACTTTTCACCCTAGAAAAATAAAAGCCACAGACTTTCCATGAATAGGTTTAGCCTTTTTTTTTTTTTTTGTATCAGGACCAAAGATGGTATCTTTTAGTCGAGGACATCATAATCAGTTGTTGAATGATTTCCTAATCCTGACCACTTTCTTCAAAGGACAGCATTGGTGTTACTAGGACCACTGATTAGAGACAATTCACTGGCTAACCCTCTCTTCTCTTTTGGAAAATCAGCTAAGAAATGGGTCAGTAGCACTATCTTCACATATGAAGGAAAGCTCGTTATGTAAATATTTTTCAAGAATATGCAATGTCACCTCAATGGCCCCTCCCAGTGATTCCCCATCACTTGCAAATCCTTGGGGAAAATAAAATACAGCATCCCCAAAATTCAATTCCCAAATTTGACACAGCCTCCTAAATCACATGCCCAAGATTCTACTTTCAGATGCTCGCTTTCAGGGGGCTTCAGATTCACTCTTGGAAGCAGGCCATACATAATTATTCCAATATTGAATTCTGGAATAAAATTTTGCACGTGGGATGCATCTGAACGACTGAATGAAACGCCTCTTAACCCTCTGCTCCATTCATTGTACTACATCCCTCTGAAGACTTTTCAATGCATGCTTTGTTTTAAGTTGCGCCCCCAGGCCGTTACAGGAATGCACCGAAATGCACGCGAGAGCATCTCCTGCGTTCCACGCACTGGAAGCCGGCAGGTGCACTTGAGGAACAAAGCCGCGAGCATCTCTCATTCCTGCAACCAACGTTCAGCACAAGACGCCCCAGGACTGCAAGGACAGGAGACTACACGGACTGTCCCCGGAGAAAAAAAACGCGTTCTCTTTTTACCTGCCCAGACAATTCAGCAATCACAGCAGCATCATTCACGTCCTTCCAAGCCAATCACACTCGAGGCCCGGGGAGCACGTGACTTCCGAGTGCTTCCGGCCTCTCGTCGGGTTCTCTCAGGCGGCCTTAGCCGGGCGCTAAGACCGCGGCGCTGCTACTCCTGCGGTGCGCACGCGATTGCCCGCCCCCTTTTCGGGATTCAGCCAATAGGAGGCCGCCGCTTCTCAGGGACCAATGGGGAGGAGCCGAGCGAGGCCAGTGGGCGACGCGAGCGGAGCGGAGGCGGGGCGGGGAGCGGGGTCACGTGGGGCGGCGCGGGGTGGCTGCCGGGAGCTGGCTGGGCCGGAGGCC